CCCTGTTCACTGCGTCTGCATGGAAAAAATAAAATCAATACTGGAAAAATATAATCATACAGAAACTGCCAAAGACTATACCTGCAAGTGATATCGCTCAGTGTTTTATACTTCATATATTTTCTTCACATTTGAAGAAAAGATTTTATAGAAAGAAAAAACTAAGACAACAGAGAATACTTTCTGGGTATGTAACTATCAGTATTCGATAAACAGATCTTCATTCAGAATATTAATATGCAAATGAAGACAACATAAAATACCAGCCAAACCAGATTGGCACTATACTTGAAATTATACAAACAGAAGTTAGGTAAGTTAATATGGCAAAAAAAATTGACTTGGTTGAATTAATATTTAATCATTCAACCTACTCAACCTTGTAAAAAAGATGCATTAGTGCAGATAGAGTTAGGTATTTTGAAGTATAATTAATTTTTTTGCAGAGCTGTATCTTTTGCTTCAGACAAAGGATGTTTCATTAAGTGAATCAGTTTTTTGAGGTAAACTCTTGTCATAAGACCGTTAGGTTTGAGGTGGGTGTTAGATGGAGGATGTCCTTGATTACATGAGTAATAACACCTGGAAAATGCACACACATACACAGACTGATCACAAATAACCACATCCTTTGTGTGTACTTTCCATAAATACTGAACCCACTACAAATGTAGAACAGCCTCAAAAGGTTTCCCATGAAAGGACCAAATTCTCACAGTCATTTTGTAAAAATCTGCATAATAGCACAATCAACAAAATCATTTCAACTCCTGAGCTGTTTCAGGCACCACTGGGACAAAATATGGGCCGGTGGTACAGGGTGGAGAGGAACAACAAATATGTGACAGAAGACTTGACTGTGAGGAGAGAGAGACACAGGAAGTCAAGACCTTGGAGGAGACCAGCATGTACCTGAGGATGCTGGAGGGGTTTCTGATGGTCATTTCCACTGAAGGAGACATGATCTTCCTGTCTGACAATGTCAGCAAGTACATGGGCTTGACACAGGTGCACTCAGATAAACACATATATATTTCTGCATAGATGATGTCTACATTTAGGATTAAAAGATTGATATGTACCTTGTTTTCTGACAGACTGAGTTGATGGGACATAATATTTTTGAGTTCACGCACCCCTGTGACCACGAAGAAATCAGAAATAATCTACGTCTAACAGGAGGTATGTGTGTGTGTGTGTGTGTATGGAGGACTGTGTCAGTCTTGGTTGTATATCTTGTGCTGGTGTTTGAGAGATCAAACTGATTTGAACAGGTTTATCCTTATTGTTTACTAAATTAATTGTTTTTCAGAGGAAGTTTGGTGCCGTCCGAAGAGGGACTTTATCATCAGGATAAAAAGCACTCTGACACACAGAGGAAGAAGCACCAACCTCAAATCAGCTTCATGGAAGGTTGGTGAGAAACAAAATCCCCACCCCACCTCTGATAATATTCATTTCCTGTTTTAATACCACATTCTCTGGTCTTAGGTTCTGCACTGTCAGGGGTGTGTGAAGGTGTGTCTGACCCCATCTTCAGTTTCCTGCCTGCTGCTAACCTGCCAGCCTTTGCCCCTCTCACACACACTCCTCAGCACACACACCTTCACCAGCCAGCACCGCATGGACATGAGATTCACATACTGTGACCAGAGGTAATTTACACAGATGGGCGCACACACACGCTTGACAGCACACACTTTGTGCACTTACTAACCAGTATCAGTTCTTGTGAAGAAGATAATAATATATAACGTTTCATTTTAAATGAGTGGAGCAACAGCTGAAACAGAATCCAAAAAAAATCCAAGAGCAAGTTATAAAACGTTACTTAAAGTACTGGTCTAAGATTAAAAATAAAAAATAAAAGGTAGCTTCTGTGGAAAAACGGGCAGCTGCAGCTCTCTGAGTTGTTTTCCATGTTATGTAATAAGTAAGAGTTTTGGTTTAATTTGGTGATATTGCATTATTAAGAAAAAGGAAAGAAAAATGATTCCTTCCCATACTTAACCCCTTTCATTCAACAACACTGCTATTTGTTATTTGCTCTGCTGGTTTTAAGCAGAGCCAAGCTGTTACCAATACAAATTGTGCTGCCAAACATTATTTAAACTGACAAAAATTGATCTTAAATTCTACAGAACATTTAATAGTTTTCAAAGATATGAATATGTTAGGAAAACGTACATATAAGGATGCACACAACATCTAAAATATTTCATTTTAAAGCATGGAGTCTTGGGCTTGAATATCATTTTCACTTCCTTCCACTTCTTCTTAAAGGGAAACTAAAGGAGAAAACTGAATTTTAAGGAGTTAACTTAGCATGACAAACATCAGAACTGTAACTGCTCTCTTTTCCCTTTTTACCTTCTCCTTTTTAATTCTAGACCTTCATAATATCTGTGAACCCTGAACTTGTTTGTGGCTGCTGTTGAATAAGTAAAACTAAGTAAACCTGTACTTAGCTGTGTACTTTTTGGTGAAAGGGCAAGTTGTAAATAATTAATTAACATGTGGTCAGTTGATGCTAAACCACGACTCTTTCAGACAATATTCTGTAACATGAATTCATATTGATTCAGCTTTGTGTGTTTGTGCAGCGTGACTCTGCTTCTAGGTTACAGTCCTGACGAGCTGCTGGGCCGTTCGATCTATGAGCTCTGTCACGCACTGGACACAAACTGTTTGACCAAAAACCATCTGAACTGTAAGTAGTTAAAAACAGAGACAAACATTACACACCTGTACATACTCAGCTATTTCACCTGTCTGCCTCGTTTGCAGTGTGTTGGAAGAGTCAGTCAGTCAGCGGTCAGTACAGGATGCTGGTGAAGGGTGGAGGTTACGTCTGGGTGGAGAGTCACAGTGCCGTCATTCCCGGTGTTCGACCCTCCAAGTCTAGACGCTGCACCCACCAGCCGCTCTGCATCCTCTGTGTTACCTACGTCCTCAGGTGTGTGTCATTTGATTTCAATTATCTACTTGAAGAGATCGAAAACTAGTTCGATGTAGCGAATCCAACAGTAAATATTTTGTCACCTTCATCTTTAGCCATATAGTCAGACTGCCTGCTGGTTGGTCCCCCATGCTGGTCCAGGCTGAAGTATCTCAACAAGATTACATTTTGTACAGCCATTCATGGTCCCCAGAGGCTGAGGTTTGCTCACCTTGGTGGTCCCCTCACATTTCTTTGGTGTTGGCACTTGTGGTTTCTGCGAAATTTCACAACTGTAGGAGTGTTTGCCATGAGTGCTCTCAGGATAAATCACAATCATTTTGCTGATTTTTAAATTGTGTACTAGTTTGGTTTATGACAACAAATTAACTAGTCTAACTTGACATTCCCATCAGCCTCAGCTGTACCTGAAACAGTTTGAGAGGGGTTTGGATTCAAGTGTATGTTCATTTTGGAGGATGTGGTTAGTGGTGCAATTGATCTGTTTTGTGTTACACTGGCAAGTGTTTCTATTATTTTATCTACCCTGTTTCTCTCACTGAGGCTAGACTAAATAAGAGAAACACCTCTCTGTATAATTCAGTACAGTTCAACAGCAGCACAAACCATGATGAAGCAGCCTGAACACAAACTGAACATTGTCGCCTACATCAAGGAGGTTGTACTCGACAGCATTAGTTTTAGCTTGGTGTACCTAATAAACTGACACCTGGGTGTTTGCTTTATATTTAAAGGACTTTAACATACAAAGCCAGCAGTATATTTCTTAAAATTCCCATAAACTAAATGCACTCAGGCTGTTTTGAGGTTTTATAGTAGAAATTCCATGAAGATACAGTAGCAGCTTTAAACAGTTTTTAATATAATTTACTGTATTTTATTTACATGTGTTTTAATGCTGTATGTGCATGTGTGTGTGTGTGTGTTACAGTGGAGTGGAGGAGCCGTCACTGCAGCTCTCTCTGGACCAGACCATCCATAGTTACATGAGCTGATACTGGAGTCAGAAAATAGTCAGTTCTCATCCTCTATAATAACAACATTCTGCTCTACCTCTTTCTGTGAATTATCACTAATTTCTATCCAGTTAACTTTTATTAAATGTAAAACATTCTAGTTCAAAAAGACTCTGTGTGTTTGTATCAACAAAAGATGTTTCTGAGGATATAGTGCTACATAAAGCTGCAAATAAGTGAGATTTGAGGTGTTTACTACCCACCAGACAAAACAAACCTTGGGAAAGTATTGTTTATTTTAAGCAGGTTGTGTGAACATAAACGCTGCTTTTACTTCACACTTTTGTGCGAAGATGGTTTTGCATAACTGTTGCAATAGCATCACCTCTGTCCTTCTGAAAGAAAACTGAAAGCTTTAGGTGGTTGCAGACAGTTGACAGGGCGTAGTGAGAGTTCATGTTTGTTGCGTCTTGACTCTTTCTTGACCTCTCTAGACCTGACCTTACATCCTCTGGGGTTTCCTTTTAGGCCACCTGACACATGGGATGACATGTTACTGTCAGCAAAGAGATAATACACACACACACACACAATGTATATATATAGAGAGAGAGAAATGCATTGTGCTGATGAGGAGATGTGAGCAGACGAGAGTCAAAGCCACAGCTTCCTGAATAAAGACACTCAGCAGGACAGTTCTCGTGGGAACTTTTTCAACTTTTTACCTCTTGGCCTCAAAATTCACACACACATGCACACACAACAGATGATTTCGAGTTTCAGTTCATCTGGTTTTATTGGCATGAAATTGAACAGAAATGAAATTACAATGAAATAAGAATATTTTTTAATAAAATGACATTAAAAGGAAATTAGCACATAACAACTGAAAATATAAAGTTAGACTCCACATGTTGGACTACAGCTTTTTGTTGACTCTCTTGACAGAACACACACACACACACACACACACACACACACACACACGCACGCACGCACACAACTCCTCATACACTATAAAAGTGTGCCAATAAGCGCTGCTGTGGTGATTTGCAGTTCAAAAGATGTCTAGATATTGACATTAAAACTGGGCTAAATTTAGTTAGAAGGTGAATGTGTTTTGGTCGTCGATATTATATATAAATAGTGCTTCAACATTATTTCACTGACTCTGTTTCACTACAATGGCTGTGGTGGGATGTAGTTAAACTAAATGCAGCTTCTCTATTTACTCAAGTACTGCAGTTTTTTTTTATTAGTTTTGATTAGCCGCATCAGTTTTACATAAAAAAAAAGAAATATGGTCACCATATATAAATATGATGCAAACTATATAAAATAAAATAGTTTAAATTAGCTCCATGTTCACCAGCTACAGTGGTAATATGCTACTGCCACAAAGCAGGACTTTTACTTGTATAAGATACTTCTGTGTTGCATGATTACTATTTTTACTAGTATTTTGAGATGGAAATCAACACTTTATGAAGTATTTACAGTATGAACAACTAGTTTGCTTTTCTGATGTGCAACATTTTTTGCAGCTTGTCTTCATTTGGTAAATTTGATTTGAGTGCTAATCAGAAACAGGCTCATGTCCACACTGAACAAAAGGCTCTATAATAGTCTGTATAGCAATCAACACACTGTATCATTTAGGTAGTGTCCTAAACCCTGTTTACTTATCTGATAAATTATAATGCTGCATGACATATGCTAACTTGAGCATATTTTTGATATCAACTTTAATCTTTTTTTTAATTTTATTTATTAATTATTTGTATCCAGTTTAAAAATCAGTTTTATTTTTACAAACTAAATTATGGTGACTGTGTCCTAAAAACTATGGAGGAAAAAAAGATGCTTTTGGATAATTCTGGCATATAAGTATAGTTTTGTTTTTATTCTCCCAGGTTTTTTTTTAAACATTCTAATGCAATGGAGGTGAATATAAAATCATTTGGCTCCTGCTGATAGTGCACAAAACTCATTTAGTTTTCTTAAAAGCTGCTTTTTCAGTTCTTATGAAACTGAAAACATAAATCTTTCTGCACGGCTACATAACTTTGGAGGTAAGATGCATTTTGGGTGAACTGTTACTTATATGTACATAACCCAGCAAGTAAAACAAAAATAAAAAGAAGCACAAAATCTAAACGATGCAGTGCATTAAAACCTAAATTGTCTGGCAGTTTGTGTTAATGCTGTCTCAATGATATTTTACATAAAGATATTTTATGCTTTGCCTCCATGGATTTGCATTCTGGCCCTGACACTGCTGCAGACTACAGTATGTAGGGAGAGGTACCAGCGCCATCTACTGTTTAAATACGGTCAGTGACACAAAACATTCAGTTACAAGGTATCCCATTTACTACCCACTGTAAAACATATAAACAGTGATTTTATTAATTCATATCGAGACTAAATTAAATGTCATACTAGGCGGAATCAGTCGATTTAGTTTGTATTCTGTATATTGTATTAAAATTAACCTTGTTATATGATCATTTTTTATCCTTGAACAACGCTGAGTCTTTTCCTGAACCTGATCATTTGCTGAACAACACAAACTCCCTGCTCTCTCTTTGCTCAAAGGAAATATCAGTTGCTTATATCAACAATCTTTTCATTGCAATGTGTGACCACCTAAATACTGGTTCATTCATAATGTCTTAGCTGACTTTGTCAAGGAAAGAAACACAAGGTTTGCCTGAAGAAAAAAAAAGTGCTGCTTCATTAACTTGGCTTCAGAAAATCCTTGTCAGCATGCTGGATTAGTTTGCTAAAGTGACATTTTCTGGTTTTCAAGGTCACACTGGCTGATCTTCATGTAATTTTATTGTTAACTGATGTTTCCAAAGCTTGATTGCTTCAGTATGACTGAGTTTGCAGCACAAAGGGTGGAGGTAATTGCTCGAGACGGTCATGGTGGTGGGTTGAGGGTTCATTTCATTCTACTATGAGCTCCCATTTTAAAAGGGCAGGAGACAAAACTTTCACAATCTTCTCACATAAACAGAAACTGTCATGCACTTCCGTTGAATGCATCATATGACCAGACTGAACAGGTGCTTGTTTAGGTCAGTCCCCCATTCCATCTTACCCGCCTCTCCTCCCCCAGTCACACCCTTGTGGTTGGGTAGGTGTTGTCAGGCTGTCAGCCAATGACATGACGGTGCTCACCCTTTGCCTTATCATGGTTGTGTTTCAATGTATGTAAGTGCACAGAGGAAAACAGAAAAACGCAGAGACACAAGGTTTTCCTTGGAAAATGGTAAATGTACTACACTTACTGTATATAGCACTTTTCTACCTTTCTGCCTAAACACAAGTGGGAGGAGATCTATATTTAGTCCAAGACAAAATAAGTGTTTGCTTTTCATGTAGCTTTTTAAGATAATTATTAATGGCCTTTTATTGGACTCATTGTTTTATTGTGGAATTAGTATAAGGCCATAAAGAAAGAGTGGAAAAGAAAGAACTGAATGGAAGTGACCTCTGGTGCAGAGTTCACAGTCCAAAGTTCGTCAAATGATTTCTGGTCAGATAGATAACATGTCGGTTGCTTGTTGCACAAGCAGGCACAGGTTTGTATATATCCTGCTTGTTGTCCAGTGAATGTCTGCACAATGAAGATCTTCTATGTTCAAACTTTGCATCAGTTATGCATTCATTCATTCATTCATTCCTTTTCTACCGCTTAGTCCCTGAACGGGGTCACAGGGGGGCTGGAGCCAATCCCAGCCGGCAACTGAGCGAAGGCGGGGTACACCCTGGACAGGTCGCCAATCCATCGCAGGGCTAACACATAGACAAACAACCACACACATGCACACACTCCCACACACACACACACACACTCCTATGGGCAATTTAGAGACACCAGTCAACCTAAGCTGCATGTCTTTGGACTGTGGGAGGAAGCCGGAGGACCCGGAGAGAACCCACGCAAGCACGGGGAGAACATGCAAACTCCACACAGAAAGGTCCCGGGTGAGGCCCGAACCCAGAACCTTCTCGCTGTGAGGCAACGGTGCTGCCCCAGTTATGCATATTTTTTCAAATAAAGGCCCCATGAAACATAAGCACTGTCTTGTTTGGGATACATTTCTGTGGTGTGACAGTGGCCTCAATTACAACTATGGATTATCGTCACAACTGTTTTCTTAAATTAAATTGTGCAGTTTCAGCTCAGCTCTTGCTGTCAGGATATCAGAATTTAAAGGTCAGTAAAGCTATATGGCCCTTTTGTAAACAGTTGCCAAGATAACCCCTACCATTATTGGATTAATAATACCCAGACATTGCCTTGACTTTGAGCCACTTGTGATGAGTAACATGGTTACCAATGATCACTGATTGGCATCAGAGACACAACACAGGATGTTCAGAATATGCCACTTTACAAGCCCAAACGATCGAACTCTGTGTATTTAAAATCACCTTTAGCTATATGTACCTTCACACTTAGTTGTTTGCTTTTCATATTGTGCAATTTAAAGTAAGTAAGTGTGCAGACAATTTGTACCAGCACTCAGGGGAAGGATCTAATCTTATCTTCTGTGCAGAGTCCACAGGGGTAAGCCCAGGTCAGGGCCTTCACTCAGATGAGATACATACTAAGATCCTGCCTCTCTGCACCATGTAGAGACATAAACATTTATATGTACTGTATATGTGAAATGATAATAACAAGCATTGACTGTGGTGTTAGATAAGAGGCACTTTTCCCATAAGACAGTAGTAACAAATACACTATAACCAGCACAAGAACAGTTTTTATTGAGAATGTTGTGTATTGTCATTCCCAAGACTTATAATCACATCGATATGACTACGCTCACATGTTGGCTAGATCATCTCAGCAGAGATGATGATGCCACAGTGTCAGCGAAATCAGTTTCCAGTGGATGCCATCACTCTGCATGCAGTGTGCACAAAGTATAAAAAAAAAAGGCTCTGCTGATTGGTTGATCAGTAGGTTGTACTCATGAGACCTTGCCCCTGTGCTGAGTCAAGAAGGTTCTGATGAATATTATCATGAACAGCCTGGTAGTGCCATCACAGCTCAGTGGAAACCCTCCCTTCCCTCCACCGCCAATCATATTCCAGCTCTGAAATGCTGTTACAACCCCCCATTCATTCACACAAACACACACATGCACACTATAAGTGGCATGCTGCCCTAAATTAGGGATTCTTGCTTGGACACATATAATGCACACATATATGCTTATATGCACTTATACATTCATGCACCATAGAACAATTTAGACAGAACATGCATAATGTAAGGTGTTTGCCTCTATCGCTCCATTTACAATGTATGTTTTAAATAACATATACAGAAAACTTTGTTACAAGGTCTTGGTTGGTTTCTCAATATACTCAATAAGATGATAATCAGCACTACCTACATGCACTGATGTAAATGACTTTCAAGTTTATTTCAGTTTTTTTGGAAATTGTCAATAGTCATTTGTTGTACCTGTCAAAATGTCAGTTTCCATGCTTTTATTTTTAGCCATGCTATCAGTTTTTGTTCTGTCAGTGCACCACTTTGGTCTGACAGAAACTTTTCAAAAATCTTTGGATAGAAAGTCACTTTGGCTTTTCCTGTTTAGGGGTCACCACAGCGAATCGTCACACTGACGACTCGCATGTTGACATTTGGCATGGATAAATGACATAAAAATCTGTAAAGACATTCATGGTCCCTACGTGATTTTATCCTACAGCTTCACAGAGCTGCTAGAATGGCTATACACTTTTGTTCTTATTGAGACCAAAATGCTGCCAGTAGTCGGGCTTTTGTGCTGATAGTTCCTCATTTATGGCAGCTGTCCATGAGGGTTGTTAATAACTGACACTAACACAATGTGCCATTTCACATCCCTACATCATGGTTGTGTCACTCAAAAGATCAGGAAACTGCTGATGAAAGCAGGCTTCCACAGATCATTTGATCAAACCACAAAGTACAAAACTGTAACTGTGGTCATTGTATAAAAGCTAGCAAACGACCAGAATGCAGTTCATGTAGATACAAGCTGCAAGCTTCCCCACAAACCTAATAAAACACTGTTTAAAATCTGGGATTTTTAAAATTGCATCATTCATTTCAACATATTACAGAATCAGATGAATAAAACAAAATTCTGTATAACTATAAGACCTTATAACTTTTTTGATTTCAGGATGGTATTGCTACTTTTACTTAAGTAAAGAATCTTAGTACTTCTTCCACCACTGCAATTTACACAGTTTGGTCAAAGGTGCGTTCTATGGCGCCAGCTTGGGAGCGCGCACTGTCAACGGATTGGCACGGGTGCGCGCCACCGTTAATCCTCCTCTTCCGCGTGCGCCCTCGAGGATGTCCTCTGCTTCCCTTGGTTCGCGCTTCCTTTTAAAGCAAAGCGACCCAGCATGCCATTCCCCACTCGGCCAGAGGACGGGAAACAGTGAGAAGCTGCCGTCCTTTATTCTGCCCCCTCTCCTGTCATCACCTAATGGTCCTTGTCGTTTAGTTGCTATTTTATTTGTTCCTTTACTCGGTTAGCTAATATCAGTCATGTATCGATATTTTGGGGAACTGCTGAGCCGTTCGGCGTGTAGTGCCCGGGCCTCGGGGTGCGTGGATTCCGCTCTCCCCGTGTCCTCGTCCCTGATGCGGCTCCGTCACTATGCCGAAGCAGCGGAGCAGCCTGACGACCCCAACTTCTTCAAGATGGTCGAGGGGTTTTTCGATCGTGGCGCAGCCATCGTGGAGGACAAGCTGGTGGAGGATCTGAAAACCAGGGAGAGCCCCGAGCAGAAGAGGAACCGTGTACGAGGCATCCTGCGTATCATCAAGCCTTGTAATCACGTCTTGAGTGTGTCTTTCCCGATCAAGAGGGATAGTGGAGAGTGGGAGGTGGTGGAGGGGTACCGTGCCCAGCACAGTCAACACAGGACACCTTGCAAAGGAGGTAAGAATTGAGCCAAACCTCCCCAAATAACACCCCCTGGTCGGCTAGCAGGACTTAGCATCACCGTTTAACGTTAGCTAATTCCACGCATAAACACAGCAGCTGCTCCTGGTGTTTACCGGAGTAGACATACATTCTCGTTATACCCTTATTTGTTTATGAGCATTTTTGTTCGTTTCCTGTATTTAAAACCTGCGCACATGATATTATGGTGCAGTTTTATAGTGACTTTCCTGTGGCACCAACCTGTGATTGGTGACGTTGTTGTAGTTTGTTAGCTTACAAGCTAGCAGTCAAACTACAGCTGGCCCCGTGTTTGTGGACCAGCAGTCCACCCCAACCTACAGTTTCTCTTAATGTAATGGTTTAATCTGGTTCAAACTGGATAACTGGTCAACTCCTGTTCTAAGATGCATGTCTGATTTATGGGGCGATGGAAGAGGGCGGCCCTGAAGGCATCAGGTGTTGTCACTGAGCATTTCAGGCTTTAACATCTCTATATGTGCTGCACAAAACCCATGGTTGACCACTGGAGACCTGTTTCTCGTGCACTGTCAGGTGATTCATACACCCAGGCAGGTGTCCTCAAAAGGGTGAATCCACACAATGTGATCCTGGACAGTTTAAAAGAAGTTCAGACTGCCAGTGTTGGGCAGATTATGATGTAATATGACGTGATAACATATCCTCTTTGGTTCAAAGTTCAGAACAGAGTTATAAGAAGTTGCTTCTGCAGTGCACTCTGGATAAATTGTGAGTATAGGGATATGATGGAAGATGGGAGTTGGAGAGTGGGGGTTATGTTTCTAGGCACTCCTGTTTGTCAACAATGTGGGAGGATGCTGTGGAGAAGATGCATTCTCATTAGAAACATGCCATTCAGCCAGCCAGCCAAAGGGCATGTTTAGAAGTTGTGGTGCGGACGGTGGTCTTGTATTAACACTGTGAAACCTTCAGCTGCAAATGCTTTGAGTGTACACCCATTTTGGGGCACATTGTGTGTGGGCTGTGTAATGGTTTAAAAAAAAAGCAGAAAGCTGTTTGACAAGCTGAGTCAGAGTGGCATGATATAAAATATCCATTACAGAATTTTCTCCCAAATTGTAATGGATCAGTTCACCAATTTATGAATTTGCAGCACCACTGAGTAGCCACCCTGAGAAGTAATATAACAAAATCAATAACATTAAAAGACCCTCATTACCCCTGTTCATCTCATAAAAGCCTGAGAAGAGCGGAGCATCACCTCAGTCAAAAGCTAAATCACAACCCAGCTTGATAATATCTGTCCTCTCCGGTGGTAGTTATTATGGTGGGGCAAACAAAAGTTACCCTTGGGCAATATACAGTATAAATGTGATCAATATTAAGTTGGCCTACATATAAGCAAGCATGCAGTTTACATAGTTCTGTTTTTACTGACAGCTTTGCTGTTTTAATGGTTTATATTGTAGGCCATTTGTGGCATTCTCCCTGATAATAGGCGTGGGATAACAGCAAGAGCTGTTATTTCAGTGGGTATAATCATTGATATAGTGTATAGACCCATGGCCGTGTTCAGATTAAAGTGCAAAGGCTGTTTTGGTGTGTGCATGTGCTGCTCATTCACCCCCTTTTAGAGCCAAACAGAGCAATGTTTGCTGGGCTGGACCACACTGCTGTCTACTGACCACTGAGTGAGCCCCTTAACCCAGGGACATCATGCACGTATGTTGTATGTGTGTGGATGCATAGTTGTTCACACACCCCTAGAAGAGAGTTTGTGGAAAGTTTCCTTTTGTTAAACAGTATGAACAGCTAATGCTTTTAGTTTGCTAAATGGTCAACATGCTTCTGCTTTCTGTGCAGAAGTGAAATAAAACTATGTGGTATTTCATGCCAGCGTTCACATGGAAAACACGAGAGCAGCAGTTTGTCATCCAGCAGAAATGATTTGTCATAGAGATCTTTAGTGCCACATGGTGTAAATAAATGCAGTGTCAAGAGTCCTTATCACTTAATCAGAATCTCTCCTGGACAGGTTCACACTTAACACATTGAATAATATTTATGGATAAAAAATAAATGCGTATATGAAAGAAAACATAACTGTAATAAAAGGACATTTTCAACATATAGTGAGGATGGTCTGACTAACAGTAATTTAAACTACATGCACCATTATGCAAGCAAAAGTCTCAGTGTGTTTTAAAAGGGGTTTCTATGTTCTAGGTAGCTTTTCACCCAACATGCTCAGAAGCAGTTGGCCCCATTGTGCTTGGCCTCCAGACCTGACTGTGGAAATGAAAGAAACTGCCTTGACTGCTGCAGGATTTTTAGTGCAGGCTCAGTTTATTTCCAAGAATCTGCCTTCCATTTCAGAGGAATGTATTTATGTTTTGGTTCTTGTTGCTGTGGTGGACTGTTGGCTGGGTGGATAAATGGATGGTTGGATGGGGGATGGTTCGGCAGCAAGGCTTTTTTCCCTTTAATTTGATCACAGAGCTCCAGATTGTTCTCTGTTGGTGCGAGTAACTCAGCTGATCTTTGGATGAATGGAAATGAAGATAGATGGGAGAACCACAACAGCGCTCTGAAAGATGGAGCTTTGTTTTGGGGCCTTTGATCTCTTCCTTACATAACACTGTATTGTAGCTCAGTTTTGCAGTAATAACAGACTGGTGATAGAAGGCTCTGATTGTAATAACAGGAATGCACATAGGTGGGCACAAAATGATGTCATAGTGGGTGGGCATTTACTTGTGCTTCCTGTTTTTGTACTTTGTCAAACAAGTGAAAATAGACATGCATGGTGCTTTTGTCACCATAAATCAATCTGCAGTCTCCTTTCTGTGCAGTTTGCTATTGGGTTTCTCTGTGCAACTTAACTCTGGTTGTACTATATTTGGTGTTGCGTTCAGTCTCTCTTTCTCACACACACACACACACACACACACACACACACACACACACACACACACTGCGCCAGCAGTGTGGCCTGGGCAGTATGGCTGAACATGCACCTGGCTGTATGGTCTCAGGTTAACACTGCACACATGCTGGTCCACATGTTAACGGGGATGACGACAGCAAACCCCAGGCAACAGGAAAAAATGACTGCAGCTCAAGGGCTGGGGTCAGAATGGATGGCTGGGATTGGTTTGTTGGGTCCCCACCCACCCATCGTTGTGACTGTGATCTTTGACCAGTTCATGTGGCCTTGTGTGGCTGAAGAGTGCATACCTATTGGTCCGGCCCAGTCCAGTCTTGGACAGCATTTTATCTCAGCTGGTCATTTCCCATTCCTGTTGTTGAGCTGAACATATAGTGTAGACGGTACTAGGTTAGACCAATGATTTTCCTATGTTGCAGTCTGAATATTTAATATACAAGGCCTTTGAGCTCATAAACCAGCTTGTAGTAAAAATACAGAACAGAATCTTGGTCCAAATAATAGAAATGTGTGATTCTAGCATACAAAAATGGGTTTGAACATAACAAATATTTTGTACATTTAGCTAGTTTAAACTTTTTCTTTATATAGTGGTAGTGTTGTGAAATGCTCACTTGTATGTGTTTCCACAGGCATCCGTTACAGCACAGAAGTGTCTGTGGATGAAGTTAAAGCCTTGGCTTCGCTGATGACCTACAAGTGTGCCGTTGTGGGTAAGTATTAAAGCCTTTGCCTTCCATCAGACCTCCTGCTGGTTAACCCTGAGATGCATATACATATTAATAGTATGGCTTACTAAATTCCTCCTGGCTATTCAGTGTTCAAAAGCAACCAAGGCTCTCCTTTTGACTGTGTTTGCCAGAATGTTAGGATATTGGTCATGAAGCAGTGTCAGAATAGTTACCCAGACTCTGTTTTGCTTTTTCTACTGATTACACATTGAGAAATGTGAATCTACATGTGCATTTTGATGCCATGACTGTTTGGCACAACAGTGTGTGTGTATGTTTCTGTAGTTTTTAAGCTGTATTATTTATTACAGATGTGCCATTTGGGGGAGCCAAAGCTGGAGTCAAGATCAACCCCAAGAATTACTCTGTAAGCCTTGTCATGTCACTCACACATACATGTAGAGATACACAGACCTGTTTAACTGTGTGCTGTAGTATTTACAGGAGAACAGGGTTTTTCTGAACTGCCCACTTTGTCTGTTGTAGGATAACGAGCTGGAGAAGATTACCAGGAGGTTCACTATTGAACTGGCCAAGAAGGGGTTCATTGGTGAGGTTTTTAAATTGATAACAAACCTATTACTCAGAGTTATAAAAATTATAAAGCTTGTCAAAGTAATCTTGTTGGTGTAGTGTTTGGCATGGTATTTTTTTTTTCTTTTGCTCAACAATATGGATGTCTGGTGTGAGACTCAGTTAAAATGACTGTAGTGGTGAATGTTTCCACATTTTCTGTCTTCTAAAAGCAGAATAAAACAATAAAAGCAGAATGGTACACATGCATTAATATATTATTAGCATTTATTGTGATTTGTATTGATGCATTAATGCGTACATCGACTCAGTGTTGTAACTGGTAAATTTGGGGCTGATCTTAATGCCTTTAAATCTTGCTGGCTAGCTTGTGATCAGTAATATCTTATCTTAGGCTATAACAATATATTGTCATTCATTGAATTACATTTTGTATCAATCTGAATCTGCAAAGTATCTATTAACTACAGTTATGAAGTAAATGTAGTGGAGCAAAAAGTGCAGTGTTTGCCTCTGAATTGCAGTGAAGTGGATGAAGTGGTAGTAAATGGAAACTGTCAAGTACAAATACGTCACAAAATTGTATTTGTGTACAGTAAATGTGCTTCATTCCTTTTGACCACTAACTATGTATATTTGGGCACTTGGATGAAACTTGGGTGTGGTGCATGTCACTGCTGTGTGAGAGCTCAGGGGCCAGTGAAGTTTCAGGTGAAAAGGCCACAAAAAAGCAACAAGCCCTTGATTGTCATTCATTTGAGGAGAAGCTAGCTGGTTTGATGGGTAAACTTAACATTATTGCAGAAAGAGAAATGGTCATTTCAGTTAGTTTCTGCAGGAGGTTTTAAGATTAGTGTTAACTATGAGCAAGGCCACTTAGCAGGTTAATGGTCCCTTATACAGGCAGTTTGTTCAAACCTGCTTTGATACATGCTAATGTTTTATAATGTGTTTAGTTCCATTCATCCATCCATTTCCTAAACCGCTTAGTCCCAAACGGGGTCACGGGGGGGCTGGAGCCAATCCCAGCCAGCTGCGGGCGAGAGGCAGGGTATACCCTGGACAGGTCGCCAGTCCATCACAGGGCTTGTGTTTAGTTAAAACCCAGTTTAAAAAAAAAGAATGTGTGATGCTCTTTTTATGTGCTTGTACATAGCAATAGTTGTGTCATTTGGTGCCTTCACTGGTCAATATGCACCCTGGAGGTAAAGCAGTACAGCACAAATCACTGCTGTTCTGTCAGTGTGAGTGTAACATGGCCAAATTGCCCCATTGAGAGATGGAGTACTTT